AGTTATATGATGATATACAACCTCAATTAGTAATCAAATATCTTTAATAATGTTATTGAATCCCTTCTGGGCATGCCACTACTTAGAAAATGCAGTAGAATGGCTATAAGTTGTTTCATTGATGGTCTTCATTTCACTGTGACATCCAATATAAATTTAGTGATGAGTGATATGGGAAGGCACAATATTTAAGTAGGAAGTAGCTTTTTGTTTGTTTGTTTTTTACACATAAAATAAGAATTCAAAATAATTTGTTGGTGTTCATCAATTGGGAAATGCAGATAGCATTATATTAACCTATTTCAAGGCAGCTAATAGCCTGAAGATAACAAGTTTAATTTAAGACATATAACAACTAACTTTAAGTTTGGGATACTATGTTTTATATGAGGTAAACTGGATGACAGAACATTCTGGTAGTTTGGTAGGAATCTGGGTAGATAACAAGAGAAAGTAGAAGTGTGAGAAAATCCTTAAGAGTGTTTTCTTCTCTTTTTTTTTTAACATTTCAGAAAATATTCAAGCTTCTATGGTACCATTTTGGTTTTTTTGGTTTGTATGTGTACATTTAAAGTGATGATGTTACTGGGAGAAAGGAAGATACTAGTAGCAGTAGCCATTATGCCATTTAGGCAGAATGGTATAGTACTGAACAGGGATGATAAGCTCTGTAATTTCACTGAAATCGTCTTTTAAGACAGGCTGTGACAAACTCTCAGGTTTGTCAATTGCCTTGAAGATCAGAATCTTTGCAGGTAAAGGAAAAGTCATTTGGGGACTTAGCTTGAGGACTGGACACAGGTAGAATAATGGAGACAGAATATGTAAAGTGTTTAGTACAAGGACTTCATTGTGAAAGGCCAGTTATGGTTAAATCACTTAACTATGATCCATCAATACATGTTTAACCATTTCCTAAATTCTAAGCAGGATGCATGCATCAAAGAGCAGAGTACATGCAAAAAATAAATCTGGTAAGACTACACCTGAAATTTTTCTTGCTGCTTTAGTTAAAACATGCATGAGCAAAACTGTCCCATATCTTTTTGCTACTCATCAGCTCAGGTTCAAAGGTAGTCAACCAATTATGTCATTTCATAGAAAGAATATATGAAACATTTTGAATGATCTTTAAGTCAATAAGACATTATTTTCCAAAATAGTAAAACCAGAGCGGCATCTGGACAGAAAGCAACCATCCTCATACAAATTTCCAGACATTTTAGAAATGTGTGGGGGGGGGGATGGATTCTATGAGGACAGTCAGCCAACTTTCAAAGAATTCATTTGATGCTCTACTAGTAATAGAACTGCATTGATTCTCTATCATAAACTGACAACCTGAAAGGATAAAGTGCTCAACTGTGATGCCATACTAAGAACAAAATTGGGGAATGCCTGAGAGTTTTGACACCTTGCACTAAATATTCTACTAATTTTGAGAATGTCTGTATTTAACAGATTTATTTTAAAGGAGGAGCTAACTTGGTAATTTATTTCATTTTAATTTGTTTTATTATTTTTAACTGACTCAAACAAAAATGTTCTAGAATCACATTTCTATATGAACAAGGTTCAAATTGTTATTAAATGAACCAAAAAATTTGGGGGGGGGGACGATTTTTTCCACTATTACTTAAGTCCGTGACTCATCTGACAACTGGAATGAAGACTAAATTTAGTAACAAATAGAATATATATGGCATGAAAAATTGCCAGATAACTTTGGAGCAAAATTGACCAGGTTATTTAAATTAAAATTATTTAAAATTTAGACTCTGCCTAATCAAAAGTAGAAATATCATTATTTATTTTATAGATAAGGTGATTTGAAAGTACCTACCACAATGTCTCAACAAAGAAAACATTCAATAAATGTCAGATTAAAACTTTAGTGCAGTACAAATGAGTCCTTGACAGTGCCTAACAGAAAGTTCAGATCTTTTATTTCAGTCATTGTTTGTGACAATTATTCCAATTGAAGATAACATTTACATAGTATTTCCTTCTCTGTGCTATTCAGGGTACCCCCTCCCACCAAAATAAATAAATAAATAAATAAATAAATAAATAAAACCAAGCAAACAAGTAAGCAATAAGCCATTGGTAAGAGAAGTAAGCAAGAGGACTTTGGTAACTGCCTAGGAAATAAATTTAAAGTAGATTGAGGCAAAAGAACACAGAGTCCCAAGAATAAATAGACACTAATTTTCTTCTTAATTTATACAATTCTATAGACAGATAACAAACATACTTTATCAATGACACATTTATAATCAACATGTAATTATCAAATCACAATTCAACTTCATTGCCCAGCCTTAGAGTCAAGACAGTTCTCTCTTATAATATTCATTTTATTCATTTAAAAATATTACTAATATTAATATAAACAAATAAAAGGCTTATGGGGCCCAACTAGAAGAAAGTAAGTTAAATTTACACATACATCATACTGACAAATTTCATGAAGAATTTTACTTGGATGGAACCTAATACAATGACAGTAGAAATGTTGTGAGATGTTTGGTCAAGAGACCAAAAAGTTAACATACTGGAAACTTGACAAGCTAGGAAGCCAACAGGAGATAATTGATTGCCAGTTTAGAGAAACCGTTGGATGGTTAGCATCCTGTTGCTAGGCAATGTTTCTAGGCAGCAGATCTCTCATGTTAAAGGACAAGAATATTTTACTTTTAAAATAATGTGCCTTTTAAAAAATTAAATATACATTTGTTTTTTGTCAACTTTTGGGTCTCTCAACTAGCTGAACACTATGAAGTTTATGGACTAACATATTTATAGGAGATAAATATATTGACTAGATGTCAATATGTATGAGAGCCCTCACTAAAATAAAAGTTTTGCACTCACCATTTAGTAAATGATAGAGTTTGCATATGGTCATATAATAAGACCAATCAGAGAGGGAAAGATGCCTTCAGGGATGTGCCTATTGTAGCTGAATAATGAAATACAAAATATATTTGAGGTTGATTAAAATTAAAGTAAATTGAGGCATGAAAATTTTTTTTACTCTGTAAATACTTAAATAAGACTCAGTAGTAAAGAAAGTATAATAGATGAACAGTGTAGGCAAATTTTGATGTTTCAAATATATTGCTTAAGTATAAAATCTGTGTAGACTTATTAATCAATTTGGGGTGTTTTGAAAGTATCATTAATTGACCTTTTAAAATATTAGCCACAGAGATCATGGTTTGAGAAAAAAGGAGTTGAACTGGTTGGATGAGGAGCATGGCTGTTAAAACTGTGGTTCTCTTCACAAAGTTCCCTAAGCACTAGTGGTTCAACACATGCCAATTTCCCCCAGGGCTCAGCTTAATTCTGGTCACATGTGCTACCTCCAACACATGTGAGAAATCTGGGAAGATTCAGAGTACTTGTGTTTCCCAAAGTATCCTTCAATACCAGAATGTGTACTGCATCTGTAGGTAGTTAAAATATAACCACTACCTTGTCACTTTTGCCCTATCACTACTCCCAGCCCCCATAGGAATTAATGTTTTTTTGTTGTTGTTGTTGGTTTTTTTTTTTTTTTTTTTTTTTTTTTTTTGCCCTTGTTTAAGGTTTTCCTATACTTTCTTCTACAGCTTGCCACAGTTCTAATGGAAAGACTTGGATGGGGTTAGGGACAGGATGAGGCTAAGTTCCCTTTTTTTGGGGGGGGAGGAGGAAACATTGATGGAACTCTACCACAGAGCTGCAGATCTGACCTTGAATTGTGGAAAATAGTTTTTACATGGTGGCACTGTTAAGAAAATGTAATGCACCACCTCTTTAGTCATAAGGAACACTTGACTTTGTAACTGTTGCTGGTTAATGACACATGAATGGAAATATTATTTTAGTCTTTCAATTACAGGTAGATTCAGTAGCTTATTTAGTCTCTTGCTTTTGTTTCACAGAAATAACACATAATTGATTCAAAAGTGGCCAGTTTATGGAAAGCAAACAAATTTACCCCAAACCATGGCTTACTTGATGTTTGGATGATTATACTAATATATCATTGATCAGATTTACTGTAAGATTGTTTTTACACATATATAAATAATCATAGCTTAAGAATTATTTGAAGATATTTTCAATAATTAGCTCTTGTCATGTCATTTCATTACCCTGGGCATTTAAATATTTCTTTGACATGACACGTAAATTTGTTTTACAGATAACTTGAAAGTTAAGAAGACAAGCACACTCATAAACACATGAATGATCCAATAAACAGGCAACATGAAAGTCCTACTGAGTTATGCAAAAGCATTACTTCTTTCTTGTTGAAGGTATTAGCATATGCTACATCTTATGTTGCACAAGTATACTCATTAAATATTATGAAATGTACAGCAGGCCGGAGAGCTCTAGCTAGCTAGTCAAAGTCGCTCATACCTGTGTGTTCGTATTTATGTCGCAGAAGGGAACTGCTTTTCTGGAATGTCTTGTCACATAAGTCACATGCATACATGCCACTTTCTGTCTTCTTTATTTTCTTTCGAGACAGACAGGAATCGGAGTCTGTCAAGTCATCTAGGCCTGACATGTAGTCTTGTGCTCCATCAAGCAATTCTCCCTGTGATAAAATCACATAGTTCAACACAGTCTCTTCTTGTGTTTACACCAAACAACTATGCAGAGGTTGACATAAATATATCCTTAAAACTGCTGGGTGTCAATCTATCTTATGACTAAAATCTTTTGTTTTCTGAACAATATGTGAAGACTCACAATTCAACAAAAACACAAACCTTTCCTGACATAGATGGGGGAAATGGAGTTTTCTTAAATCTTCCACTTTTTATAATACCAGGGAAAATCCACAAATGAACATTAAATATTGGAATTGCTATAATTTCCAGTGTACTTTACTTCAGAAATGATTGGTAGCTGTAGAAACTTCATTTTAATTGAATTTTATATTTAGGTACAAAATATTATTATTATACAATCTATTTAAATGTATGTCTACCAACTAAAAGCCCTAAGCTATATTTTTATATTTAATTTTCTAATTTGAAAAGGGAATATTAATAACACTTTTTATCAATGTTCTATCTATGTTAAAACAGCCTTCAGCATTGAGCAATAATGAATGTAGATCAGTAAATTATTAAATTTCTTGATATTTATTTTGTCTTGGTCCAAAGGAGTGCAAACTTGCATGATCACATACATTTCCATTTGCTAGCCCACAGTTTAGTTTTCTTAGACTATATTTGCACTAATTAATACTAGAGAAGATTAAATAGGCTTAAATGCATTTACAAAGAGGGCAGATGTGTTGTAAATTAGAATACTGGACAGCTGTTACAGCCGTGCACTGCCACTTCGACTCGTATTTTGCAAATAAGGATTATACAAAACAATGCTAAAACAATGCCTACTTTCACATTCAACCACCTATGAATTATTTCATAATTCAAAAATTAGGAAATAAGTCCTGTGTAACGTAGAATATTTAAAAAAAAAACTCTTCAGAATTAACTATTTTGTATAAAACAAAATCTATATTAAAATTTAAATATGTAATTCCTTCAAGTTATGTACATCCTTCTAAGCACCTGGCTGTTACATACTTTAATTTCAAGCATCCAGGTAAACCTACTGACCATTAGCATCAATAATCCTCAAAAGAATTCTTCATTTGCTTTGTTTTGGTTTGGAGACACACCCTTGAACTAGCAATTAATTTTCTTGCCTTAACTTCCTAGAAAGCCTCCAATTCTGAATGGGCTACCAAAGCCAATGGCTAAAGCCCATTCAGAATTGGAGGTTCATGTTAAAAAAGACTTTTCTGTTTCTGAGTTTTTCTTTCACTGAGTGTTTCCCTCCACCTTGTACATTGTCTAAGCAATTTTTTGTTACAGTTGGCAGGCTGGGACTCACACTTTGGCATCATATGCACTAGACCACACTTTTTATCATCTTTCTTCAGAGCAAAAGGACACATCTCATTACCTGAAAGCCTTGTTTCCGCTGGTATTTCCTCCTTTGCTGCATGTCAGCAAAGGTAGCAGCTCCCGTTGGGTAGGTATAGGCCATATGTGGTAGGAAGCTCATCTGATCCAGCCCTGGGTATGGTCGTAGCCCAGGGATGCTGGTCTGGACTGGTGGCATGAAAGTGGCAGGGGGAAAAGCACTTTGTGCTGGAAGAGCTGTGTATAAAGGCTTGGCACTAAATGGGTTCATGCTGAACACTGGGTTAGTGCTTTTGTTGTCCAGATTATTCGAATTTGAAAACTCCTTCTTGATAAAAGTCAAATTCAGAGGTTCATCTGAATTTTCAGATGATGAAGAAACACTGTTATGGTCTAAATTTGTGCTAGTAGCTTTTGTTTTGTTCTTTGTGGCTATAATACTTTTGGGTTCTCTCATTTGTTTTGGTAATGACAGGTCCAAAGGCTCAGCCTGCAGCTCCTCAGAAGAGAAGCTATTTGGAGTGTATGAGCTACTGTGGGAGTTTTTAGAAGATGTGGAAGAAAGATTTAAAGGAGAAGGAGTATTACTCCTTGAGTGGTCCAATTTATCAACTGCTTTAATATTGGTAAAATGAGAAGTTTTTGATAGCCTGAGAGGAGGGTCACAATTTGTAACACTGTTGTGGAGCTCTGCTATAGATGGTGATGTTATGGAGTCCATAGGTTTTACAGGAGACCTGGGTAATAACGAGTCTTTTGTGGGGGGGTTACTGTTGGGAGCTAATGGCTTGGATGTCCTTTCCAGTGATGGCGACCTGGAATTTGAATACTGGTAGACTTTTCTTTGCTCAAACCATTCCTTCACAAATTCCTGAGGAAGGCCCACAGCAATGGAGATTTTCAGCAGTTCATCAGAGTTGGGCTCCATGTTCATAGCATAGTACGCTTTGAGTACAGACATGTGGTCCTTGTATGGGTTGATGGGGCTTGTCAGTCCTTTCTCAGAAAGTACAGATGACAAGAGGAGGGCTTTATTATCAACAAAAACTCCAGCTTTGTTGGGGACTATGTTTTCATGAGGTTGCAGGACTGCCTTGATCTCTTCATTCATTTTACACAGGTAGCGTTCATGCTGATGCAGGGGAATAGGGCCTGGGAAGCTCTCTTTGCAGAACTGGCATGAAAATGGAGTGGATATGCTGTGGTTCTCAATCATTTTATCATCGGTGACCAAATCTATTAACGTGCGCAGCTTCTCTTTCTTTATATTACTGATCTGTCTCCTTGAGTCAGTAGTCAAGCTCTGCAGGCAAGCTTTGGCTTCATTAACTTTTTCTAAGGTATAGTCAATAATACTTTTAGTGGCACCATTATGACTCACTACTGGAAGACCAACAGGCGGAATATTGGGAGAAGCAACTCCTTGTTCTTCTGGCTGAGAACATGGATCCTTCATGTGATAACCTTTCAACTTGGAAATTTCTTCAGTCTTGCAGTCCATCTTTTGCCTAGAAACCGTATTGTCCACAATCTGTAGAACCTTTTGTACCTCACTCAAGTTACTATTCATAGTAGGAAATCCAAGTAATGGGGCTTCCATCCCTACACCTAAGTGCTGCATTGGACTCTGAGCAGATGGGTGCACACCTAAAGGGCTGGTGGCTCCAAGGCCGCCATTCATAAAGGGACTAGTGCCACTAAACCCGTGTGTTGCCATAAGAACTTTATAGTCATTGAAGTCTAGTGGTTCTGTCTTAATCTTAAGTAAGCCTGTCTGTTCAGACATGCTAAGTGGTTTTCCATTTTCCAACTTGTTCCTTAATTGAGTAATGGCTGAGTTAGTAGGAGAAGAAGAAACAGAATTAGGGGAAGAACCCGTCTTGATATTGTTTCTCATTCGGCCATTTACCGAGATTAAACCAATACATTTCTTGCTGCTGATGTGTGAACTGTAGGAACCAGAATGGGAGAAGCGTTTCTTGCAGTTTGGGCATTCATAAGGTTTTTCACCTAAAATGATAATTAAAATTAACATTAGATTTCTTTGGTTAGGTAACAAGTGAAGTGTGCCAAGACAAGAATATGTGGAACCAAATGAAATGAATATAGGGAAATGGACCCTACATTCTAGATGTGCAAGTCAGGGTTCTGTCACCATAACTATATCTGGGCTTTATCTACCCTAGATGGGCATAATTCAAGATGTAAGCTGTGGAAGGTAAAGCCTATCCATGCCTTTTTCAGCTAGGATCCCAAATCTTGTCAGGCCATCTGTAGCCTCCTTTTTAAACAGAGTGTCAGATTAATGTGTGGTCAATAGCACAATAAAGATGTCACAGTATTAAAGAGAAATGTAGCTATGGCTTTAATCAACTCTGTGGAGGTTCCATTGGTTCTAGCAGTTCAACTAGTTCTTTGAATAGCATCCAATTTGGTAATAAAATGCTTGGCAGAGGCATCAAACTACGTATGAAGCAGAAATCTCAGTGGTGGGATGTGGGTTTATGCTGTACAGCTATTAGGAGTCAAGGGACATTTGGCATACACAACCTCTTGTCCAATTTTCTCTCACTCTTGTGTGAATTTAGATATCAAATATGAATATCTTTCAGAAGTCGTAGCCCAAATATCTGTAGGTCAAAGATACAGTTTGGCAAAATCTCTAGATTTGGCCAAAAAAAAAAAAAAAAAAAATCAGAATCCTTGTGCATTGTAAGAAGGATAAACACAGCACTTATAAAATAAATAATGCAAACATGAGTGTGAGCACCTCTGCTACTCACCACTGTGAATTCTCAGGTGTTCTTTCAGGTGGTGCTTGTACTTGAAGGCTTTGCCACACTCCGTGCATTTGAACTTGCGGTTACCTGCTCCTTGGGTTAGCATTTGGTGCTGTGAAGGGAGAAGAAAGGCCATCATTTTTGTTGAGGCAGCACAAAGTAGGCCTTTTCAAGGCCTCTTTTTCAGGCAGGCCAGGAGGTCTGAGTGCATTCTTCTTTATCCACTGTCTTTCAGAGTTGCAATAAAATTGATAATGCTACTAATAAAAAGGGACCTTTTTTTTTTAAGTGCTTCACATGAACATCTGACACTTGCATCACTATTCTGTCCATTGTCTGTTGTCTCTTTCCTAAAATGGTCTTTTTTTTTTTTTTTTTTGGCCCTTAGATGAGAAAGTATAATTGTAGAGATGTTTATGGCTCTTTGTGTTTAGTGCAGAATCTAAAACCTGAAAGTTTCCTTCTAGAATACTGCTATCTTGTTTAGGAAAAAATAGTTTCCTGAAAGTTATGAAAAAAAACTTAAACCCCCATTTACATATTTTTCACCGAGTTTTCGGTATCTGGGTAAAGCATATTCAAAAAAAAAATCCCTCCAAATAAAAATTCCCAAAGCCCTTTGACTATAAATATGTGGTATGCCTGTTTAAATATCCCACTCCCTGTGCTACTGGTCCACATCAACTCTGCTCTTAGGTGCTGCCTATCAGACTTGATCCATTATCAAAAAAAGACATCTTGGGTTATAGCTGCTTGAACAGTTTTATCACAGGCCAGAAGGAAGGACTTCGATGACTTTTCATTTTCTTTTTTAGTAGTGTGCAAAGATCAAAAGGAAAAAAAAAAGGTTGCTGAAAAGACAAGTCAGAAGCTGCACAGATACAATCAAACACAGCTGACCTTTTTGAACAAGGGATGGGGGGAAAGCAGTGTGACCTGGAATTCTAGGTTTAAAAAAAAAAAAAAAAACAGACAGACAAACTACAGTCATCCACTCTGGATGCGCAAGGTAGGAGACCAGCCTTTTTCTGCAGCAATGACACAAAAGCCTTTTGCAAAAAAGACAGCACAAAAACGGTATGACAACTGCTAGGGTGTGCTGAATCTTCCCACATTCCTAGTGAGACAGATGGTGTTACATGGGACACAGGGAGGGTTGTTCAAACAGCAGCAACCTTCAAAGATCAAGCGGAGCCCAACCCGCCGAGCGCCATTGAGGGACCAGCGCTCATATGTTGCTGAGTTGCATAAACAAACAGCAACAGCTGCTTTGTCTCCTCCACAGCCCTCAGAGGACTACTATAAACTTTAGTTGTGCCACTGTTAATATGATACAATCATTTTAATTTACTAATTGTAAATGCCATGAGCAAATGAGGGGACTTTTCAACACCAAAGCTACCATTCATAATGCGCCAACACAATCACACTTCTGCATGTGAAATTTAAAGCAGTTATACTAGATAAATATCTAGGCATTTTTCTTCCTAGAGTTTTTGTGCATAGAAGCATGAGAAGATAAACTGTTACATGAGTGTAACTATACAAGCATATTACTTATAGCTGATCTTTGGGAAACAGTCAAGTAGCAAGTCCAATGAGAAACAAATGGTGTGATTATGTGATAAAGTGCCTTAAATAGTCAAATTTCGTAGCATAGTAGTTCCATCCTTGCTAACTGGGTTTGTGCCTCCTTTTCCTTATTCAAACACAATAAAGCCTATAAGGACAAACCAGACTTTTATATAGAATATGAATATCATAGCTAGCCATTTTAAAAACATATACTATCAAAGTTCATGTAGGGCAATTCTATATCTGTAGGGCCAGTTATTGTGACTTATGAAACACCATTACTGTGACCACCCAACACATCATAATATCAACTTGCAGAGTCAGTTCTCCCAGGAGGACAGAAAGAGCAGTTTTGCTGAAACATTTAAGAGATATGTTGTGAATCAATCCTACTCAGATCCTACTCAGTCATTTCAAGGATTTCAGACACTCTCCTTACCTTCCCAAGACAGAGATCTTATTTTTAAAACAAGTAAGCCAAAAGAGGCAGAACAATTTTGGCATTTAACCGCATGCCATATTGAGACGGAATTGATTTAATTATAACCAATGTTTTATTGTTTTTCCAATTTATTATGTATATACACATATAACCTATATGCTTTTTTATTTTCCTATAAATAATTAGTTTTCAAAATTAGGAAGCTTGTAAAAGTAGTCTAAGTAATTTGAAAATGTTTCATGGCAAATGAAGGAAATATTCACTTCTTTTACTACGCATTAGGTCCTATATATATATTTAAAAAATGCCTAAGCAAAACTAGGTGAAAAATGGAATTAAAATTGCTGAGATGTTTAATAATGTATAATTAAAATGCTACAATTTCATTCACTTTTTGTGGAACATAAAAATGAAACTAAAGTCAAGTTAAAGTGCAAATAAAATTTCTAAATTAGAAATTAACACACTCATTCGATCGTGAACATAAGACTATTAAATCATATTAGAAGAGACCATCAAAAAATCATTTAGACCTCAATTAAAGCTATTACCATTAAAAGATCTGCATCTTCAAAATGCCATGAAAAATTAATAATGATTGCCAATCAAAGCAATATCGTTTCTCTAAGGGGTTATTATAGAAAGAAATCACTTAGAACCAACCCCCACCTGATCTGTCCCTGGCTTGTGCGTCACCATATGCCGCTCGAGCTGGGTGCGGTAGGCGAACGTGTAGCTACAAAGAGGGCAGGAAAAGTTCTCTTCATTCTTCTCGTGGCGGTACTTGATGTGCTCCTTCAGCGATGTCAAGCGCTTGTAGCCGCGGTCGCAGTAGGGGCAGGTCAGCAGTTGGGCAAAAGCATCTGGAGTTCCAGGTGGCAGGTCTGTAGCCGAGAGGCGAGAGGGAGAGGAGCGGGCCAAAAGGTCAGTAAATCAATGGCAGCTAATGGGCTAGCTGCCCGGGCTGCTATGACAGGAATCACTGCAATCTGCTCCAGCAGAGCGCCATCATTACGTCCGGACTCCTCACAACCAGGCCCCTTGCACACCCAGGGCAGGCTTGTCCGAATCAGTTCACACTGTGCTCGAAAATTAATTAATTACTTGAGCTTATTTGTGGGGAGGGGGGATTTAAACAGCTGATAAGTGAAGAAATTCCCTTTGGGTTACTGACAATTCCTCTGAACCCTAGACTCCTGTTACACAGGAATTCGCAGGAGGGAAGATTTTCAGGTGTCAGTGAACAAAAGGTGAGGGTCGGTGATCTTAAACTTTGTTTTTCCTCAAAAGTAAAATATCTCTGAAAGATAGGAATAAATTTAGATATTTTTATCTCTTAGAAATGGGCTGTAATTGTTCTTATTCTGTATTGGATGTACAAATGACACAAATTTGCTGACAAAAAAAAAAAATTCACAATACCCTAAAATTACAGTTCTAATCTTTGCTCATGAAATTCCATGCCTCCGCAGCTGTTCTTCAAATTTTAAGGTAAACACCCAGGCATGTAGTGCATTTGTAATTGTAACAGCTGCAGAGGTCAGTATAGTGGCTAAAAATGAATTACAGCCTTACCATTTTCTTCTTGCCCATTGGCCTCTGGCGTGCCAAGGCGAGACAACTCCTCCGGGGCTTCTGGGTAAATAATGGCCGTGTCACTTCGCTGAAGGTACTCTTCAATGCTGACTGCATGACCATCGCGTTCCTCCAGTTTTCTTTTGGCAAAGTATTCCTCAAAGTCTGATGTGCAATTTGCATTCTTAACTGAAATCATAAACAGAAAAGAAATGTCTTTCAGGCCTATTTTCCTAGAAGGCTAAATACTATACATCATTGCTAGCGACTAGTAAGACTTAAAGTATCTTCTTTGTCAGGAGGGAAGATGACAAACTATTGGTTAAACACTTATTTTTATAATACATGCAAAAGGGCTTACTTTGCTTAAGTTAGTAGACACGTTTGTTCTTGGAACGTTCAACTGTATAATTCACATACAAATGAAAGAAAACTTAAAATGAATTTATTAACTGTTTTAAAAAGTGGAACATGACATAATGTAAGCTTGCAGGTACTTTAATAGTTTACATAAAACTGCCTTTTGTCTTAAGAAAAGTAAATTTAGCTCTTAGGGACAGGGGAACCTCAAAGTTCTACATAGAGGGGGTAAGCATACAGTGTGGATCTCTTTAGACCTTCCCCAAAGCCTTTCAATAAAGTATTTTTACACACACACACACACACACACACACAGGAAATTTCATTTTCTTAAGGTACATTACACTTTATGTCCCTATCCTCAGATCCATCTGTTGCTAAATGTAAGATTTTTGCCATGTTCTTCTTTAAATATGACATATAGTCAGGTATACATATTCTGAGACAGATGTGAAAGGACAGACATCCTTACAAATACAATAATGTGACCTTGCTAAAGAGAAGTCACAGAATGACGCATTCTCACTGATATTAATCTTTGTATAGTCAATGGAAATAAAATTAAGCTCACAGATGATAGAAACAAAATAAAAAGTAATAGAGTTTTACTGATAAAACTGCAGCACAATTTCTATATGCCTTTGGCTTCTTTAGTTATGATTTTATTTCTATGAAATAAATAATAGTTGTGAGCCAATTTCAGTCATTTGTGTCACAAGACATGGTATATACTTAAAATCTCTAGATGCATCCCTGAAATTAGCTGTGGCTTACACATCCCAAATAAAAAATTTTGCATAATAAAGAGCTAGAAGAGTAGCTATTAGTTATTCTTCATGGTTGCTGGGAAAAGTGCTTTGCTAGCACGGTGCCTGGCGGACTCCTGATACCATGGTTTGAAAGCAATTCCTTGTGATTCCACTGGATCTTTCACTGTACTTTCTCTACTGCTGCAAGAAACGCTACAATGCTTGCTATAGGAAGCCTCCCGGGCAAGTTGTGATGTGATGATGTTCAACCAAGTTAGTCAATTTTTTTTCTTTCTTTTCTTTCTTTTTTCCTTCTTTCTTTTTCTTTTCTTGGTTCACATTATTGTAAACTTGTGGATTTTAGATAAGAAGACTAGAAAATGAAACCTGTATTAATGGAAAGCATTGACAAACAAGTCTCATTTTCCTAAGCAAAGATGAGAGCTAACCTTGCCCTTCAGGAAGCTATGCCAAAAACAAAACAAAACAAACAAACAAAAAACCAAACAACAACAAAACCCAAAACAAACGACACCATCCCAAAAATAAACATCTGGCTCAAACATGACTGGGCATTAAGACCAAAAGCTGTATGGTGGAATGAACGAAAGTAACAAGGGAATCCAGTGGATCTAAAAAAAAAATCAGGAAAGCTTTAATGGGGGAAGCTTGATATTAGTTTACTCTTTAAACTGGAGCAATGGACATCTCAATACCTAACTTGGACTGCAGTGTGAAACAAAAACTATAGGATGTTGGGAAGCAGAAGGAGCAGAAATGGGAACATGCAGGGGCAGTATTCCTACTAGGGATTTTTATTTTTATTTTAGAAGCAAGAAGCTGTGGAAGAATGTCAAGCAAGGACAGTTGTATGGAATGATGACACTTGTACTTTGTAATGATGACTCTGGCTGTGGTGTGGCAGGAATTGGAGGAGAAGAGCCGGTTCTGCTCAAAAAGTTGGCTGAGGCTAGGGTGGTATGGGTCCTGGGTAGGGGGAGGAGAAGGGGTGCTTCTGTCCAAAGTCACTCAAGAGACAGATTAAGGAAGTGGTGGCAGACATAAAAAAAAAAAAAAAAAAAAAAAAAGTGGCCTTTACAAAGTAAGATCTCTACAATTTGGGGGAAAATCCAGCTTTTGTAAGTGAGATGTTGAAGTGTCTCCTTTATCTTTAGGATATTCAGTCTGATAAATGGTTAGTATATTTGCCCAAGCAGGAACTATTTGAGTTCTAAAAAGATTTGAAGTCACAGGTAAACATAAGATCAAGCATAATTAAATCTGGATGATTATATTTTGTGAACCACCAAACTAGGTGCTAACAATTCTACATGCTGTGACCTCCAGTCTTTTTCTTTAGTCACTTCAACTTCTGCTAAATTTAACAAGAACAGCTGTCTGATCCCAAAGTGTGTGTTCCCCTTAAAAATAAATTTGGGATGTAAGGCAGTAGCTGAATACTTCTGCTTATATGTGCTCTTAGATGGATTTAATAGCCATTGGTTAAGATCATTGCTCTGCTGCTCCATTCACAAGGCCATTGGTGCTTTCAAAGGATATTGATACTAAGAATAATGATAATCTCATTGAACTTGCTCCATAGACTCCTAGGGAGTGTGTGGGAACTGCCAGTTTACGAAAACTAGTTGTCCAGTTTTGTGCCCAGTAAAATAGTTTTACAAAGAATTACTTTTTGCTTTTATTGATAAGGGGAGACAATGGGGCAGAATTTTAAATGAATGTTTTTATTTTTGTTTGTTTGGTTTTTCATGACAGGATTCTCTGTGTAGCTCAGGCTGTCCTGGAACCCACTCTATAGACTAGATTGTCCTTGAACTCAGAGATCCCCTGCCTCTACTTCCTGAATGCTGGGATTAAAGGCATGTACCACCACCACCACCACCACCAAGCTAAAGTGAATGTTTTTAAACATTGTGACTAACTTTAATCATGGCTGACATCTTTTTCCATACTATGATGATTCAAAGAAACGCTACAGCTGCATATGAACACATATATATTTGAATATTTAAAACAAAATTTACTTGAGGTTTTTCAGGCTATTGTCCCATTCCATGACCTTAGTGTAACCCAGTAAAAGTGGATGGATATACATTTAATATCCTAATTTTATCTTGATATTTCAGCAACTATTTGAATTATCTGGCTATCTTTGCATGAATTTTCATTTGCATATGAATGTTTCCATCAGAAATGTAATCAAATGCAAATTCAATTGGATTTGCATTAATAGTCTTTGGGCTTAAAAAGGGAGAAAAATTCTGATATTTCTGGATACACAAACTAAACTACATCTAGATACACTTCTGGTGTTTGGAGAGGGGATTTGACTGTTGAATCAAATTTTGTTGCACTTGATTTCTATATGACTTGAGGTGGGGACAAAAGGACTTGACATTACACTCTCTCTTTAAGGATCATCTTTGGTCATCCATGGATCCTGAACACTGAGTATATCACCAAGAAATTAGTAGTTTCCCAAGAAACATTTATGGAATGCATAAGGAAAATAATGTGACTTGAACACTGTTCTTGGCATTAAAAACAAAACAAAACATTAAAAAAGATACCTAATAGTTGAGCTAAGAATTTGGAGCTTTTGTCAACTTTAGGTAATATGGCAAAGTATTTCATTTTATTAATAAATGCTTGCAGGATTTAGACATGGCTTCAGTGAACACCCAAAAGGATTTTATGAAGAAAATGTCATTTAATCATTGAAGTCTACTGACTTCATTAGGACTTTCCCTCACTTGTGTGAGGTGGATCTGCTATTAATCATCTATCATCTAACTTAAAGGAGCCAGTGTATCCACCATGAAAAGCAGTGTAGATTTCTCCTTGGTTTTTATGACAGGTTTCCTTTGCCTAGGCACAACTCTTCATTTCCACGTGACCAAGCCTTAGAGTACCCAAGCAAGCTGCTGTTACAGTGTCATCCTGCTCCTAGTCTCCCAAATGCTTATTGGTACTTGAAGCCTAATCACTGATTTGCCCAGAAGAGGCCAGCAGATAAAATTAAAGCTCATGGATCCCTTCCTCATGATTTTAGGACTTTGTTCCAAAGTGAACATCAAGGCTTCTGTAGCTATAAGATGCCGAATGAAGGACCTGATGTCTTCCATTCAGAAAAGGAAGATTTATGAGACTGAAGGAAGCAGAGAGAAAGCAGACAAGAAGGAGCTCCTCTGTAGCTCCTCACCCAGTTGCTTGGTCTGAGGCCATGCTACATCTTCTAGTGACTGTACTGTAACCTCACCTCACATTATGTCATCCGAGAAACTTTTCCTGCTTTAAACTGTCTAGTGTTGTAGTCTCTGAAAACAAATCCACACTCACTCCCACAGTACTGCAGCAAGTGGCTGGAAGCATTTTTGCTTACTCCTCTTGGCAAGGATGAAATCTGGATTGTATTTGGAAGTTTGTATTTTTGTTTTAACAAAAATTTCATAGCACTGTGTAGTGGACACAGGAATGAGGTGGAGAACTTGCTACCAAGTTATAGAATTCCCTCTGGTATTTTTCTAGTATAATATCAACCTCATTTTTTGTTCTTTCCATAATCCTCTTCACTCCCTGGCCACCTTGGAAGAACTGCCAAAGCACACTGACAGAGGATATTTGCATGGCATTTATCATCAAACCATAACAAAAAATTCACAGGAAAGCTCAAGTAATTTCTTCCCATATCTTCTCCAGGGATTTTGCATTTAGTCCTAAAATTTACCCTAATGTCGTGCAAATATCTCAACCTTCCCTAAGGTTAGTTAAACTTTTCTCCATCCAAAAAGAGAATGTTAATTAAAAATGTTTCCTCATGGCTATATGTATTTTAATATCGGTAGATAAATTTCTAGATCCCTTCAAGCCAGCAAAGCCTTCTCTTTTAAATATGTTACTCACTATTACTAGTCATGCTTATTAATGATACTTTCATAAATACCTTTATGACTGTCTTGGGAAAATATTGATTTTTAAGGTAGATAATGTTGATCTAAGCTGACTTTTAAAATGATTGCCTAGAATCGAGCAGTGTTAACAGATCTCTAAGTGAAAAGG